AGACAATTAGATCGCTGGGGTCTACTGGGCAGCCAGCCTAGTCTTGTCAGCAAGCCCCAGGTCCTGATGAGAGACCCTACCTAAAAATAAATAGATAAAAGTAGATTACTATTGAGGAATAACATTTGAGGTTGACTTATGGTTTCTACCTGCACACACACACACACATATATACACACATAATAAAATGCTACCAAAATATGTAAAAAGCACAGATATTTTCTTAGGAGGCTCATAAGTAGTACCATGGAAGGAATATAATGCAGTGCTATGTTGTTGACCCCAGATTTCAGTTATAAACTATAATTCATTTAAAGTGCTTGGCTCTTAGGAATACTAGCTTACATCTGTAATCTCAACATGCACTGCAGACCACACCTGAGCTATATAGTGAGGTCTTGTCTTGGCAGTGACAAAAAAAGAAAAGAAAAAAGTTTAGGCTGTTTACAGTGTTGCATTTAATTCACATAGGATTGGGATATAGGCTGGCCCCAGATTGTTAAATCATTTACCCAAGATTTTGGCTTCAGTGGGAGAGATGCTAGCTGTTTTCTGGAAAATGGAATTCTCTGTCAGGCTGCATGGAAAGACCTACAAATCCCAATCGTCTTTTGGATCATAGTTGAGGATTTTTCCCTCTCCTGATTTTTCTACAGCTAATTCTTTATCAGTAATGTTCAGTAGAAATGTAATACAAGTCGCGTGCATAATTTAAAATATTCTAGTAGTTTTATTTAAAAAACTGAAGACAATTCAGAGTTAATTTTAGCTAAGTCATTTAGTTAAGTCATTTCACTTACATCAGCATTTTAATAGTCAGTATGTTCTTTCCCTTGTATCAAGATTTTGAAGTCTTCCATGTATTTTATACTTCACACCTTGATGTAGAGTGGTCACAGTTCAGATGGTAAGAGCTATGTGAGGCCTCAGGTACCTCAGTGTACAGTAAGGTTAAACTGTTTGCATAAACTAGTTATTTCTCACATTTTAAAGGCATGCCTTTTGTTTAAAATCATGAGAAGTCGTTGGCTGCAAAGTATCCTTTTCCTTACCCCTACACTGTACTCTTTGTTTCTTATAATCTACACTCTTGTTCTGTGAGAACAGTTGATTGTACTGTAAAAATCATTTGCTGATGCCCATTTCTTATCTGGAATGAGAGAAGTTGGAGGATCTCTAGTTATTTGAACAATGAGATTTTTTTTCTCTTATAATTCTGGAGCCTTGTATGTGCTAGACAGGTGTTCTACCACTGAGGTATATTTCTTTCCATCCCTCAAGCTTCTTGATTAGTTTTCTCCCTTATCCCTTAGAAGTTAGAGACGTTTTAAAATTTTATACTTAAATGCTCCTAATGTGCTGATAAAATTACCTAGTGTGAGTAGCCTGAAAACTGTTATGTGTCTGAAGTGAACCACTTAGGCTGTCACCAAACTATCTGTATCAGAGTTGTTGTTGTTGTTGTTGTTGTTGTTCTTCTTCTTCTCCTCCTCCTCCTCCTCCTCCTCCTCCTCCTCCTCCTCCTCCTCATTCCTTTTTCCTCCTCCTTCCTCCCTCCTCCTCCTTCCTCCTCCTCCTTTGTCTGAAACAGGAACTCTCTGTGTAAGCAGCTCTGGCTATCCTGGAACTCCCTCTATACATCAGGCTGGTCTCAAACTCAAGAAATCCATCTACCTCTGCCTTCCCAGTGCTGAGATTAAAGGTGTGCACCACCACCACCTGGCTTGGTTTATGTTTTTTTTTTAATTGTGGCCTTTTAACATAAAATTGATTTTTCCCACATTGTCTTATTATGCTTCTGGTAGGACTAGAGCTGATCTATTTATTTTGTACAGGTGTTGGGTAATAGCCTGTACACAGCTTTGTCACTCTCTGATTTGGGGGTTTCTCAGAGAAGTTTATGATGTTGGAAGATAAGAAGATCACCAAAATTATAAAAAATATTGTAGGTATTATGTGTAGAACACCATACACTTAAACATTGGTTGTTTAGAGAAGAAAAGACTTACTCGTTCAACAGTCATTTCACATGACAAGGTTACTCACCACAACTCCCAATACTGAAGCCGCACCACATGATGGCTGGGAGACAACGTCGGGTAGAAACAGTTTTGCGTGCCAGTTATCCTTCTAACCACTATCACTTTAATCAAATTACTAACCCTTGTTTCTCTCCCTGAAAACTGGTCATTCCTGACTCTTAGTACTCATGTGATGTTCACATGAAATGACCTATTCCATCTTGTGGGGTAGGAGCATGCATTGTAGTCATCACAGGATAGCACATGCAGCTGAGTGGTAGATCCAGTGGTCTCTGATATTTGAGGAAGGCTGACTGGAGGAGGTAGAACTTGAGGTCTTTGTTGAATGCAAATAGAGTGGCAAATACAGAGTGTCATGGAATTGACTTCAGAAAGAAAACTTAAAGTGACATTATCCAGAAGTGCAATGCCCATATAATTCAGTGGGATCTTCTGTTCTCAGACTAGCTGAACATAAAGAAATTGTGTGTGTGTGGGGGGGGGGGTTATTAAGGCCATCTTGTTTTTCTTTGTTTTTTTTTTTTTGTTTTTTTGAGACAGGGTTTCCCTGTGGCTTTGGAGGCTGTCCTGGAACTAGCTCTTGTAGACCAGGCTGGCCTCGAACTCACAGAGATCCACCTGCCTCTGCCTCCTGAGTGCTGGGATTAAAGGTGTGCGCCACCATTGCCCGGCAAGGCCATCTTTTTTAATCAGTGTTCCCTAAGACTCCATGACCTTATGAACAGATTATAGAATCTGTACTTAAAAATTAGTCTTAACTGTAGAAAGCTTATTTTATAGTATAGGAGACAAACTTTTAAATAAAAAAAAAGTGAATGAAGTGCTAAGTGCAATAGTGCATGCCTGTAACCCCGCCCTTCAGAGACTGAGAGAAGAGAATTGAGAATCAGGGCCAGCCTGGGCTACATAAAGCATTCCAAGCCAAATGAACTACCTAGTATGTATATCAAGACCTTGTGTCAAAAAAAAAGTTAATGAAAATTATAATAACAGAATTATGTGTCTTCTTTTGACTCATAAATATTACTATTTTTGTTTTGTTTTAAGACAGGGTTTTGCTATGGAATCCTGACTGGCCTGGAACTTAATATGTAGACCAGGCAGTTCATGAACTCACAAAGACCCTCCTACTTCTGTTTGCCAAGTGCTGAGATCAAAGATCTATTCCACCACACCTGGCTATAAATATTATTTTTGAACACCTTTAATTATGTGTTAGAACCAGAACCCATTGTTTAAGTTCATGTTTTTTACTCTGCAGGAGAACCCTTTCTTATATCTGACCTGTTTTATTCAGTTGAATAAGAGGAATAAAAGTTTGAATTAAAGGGAAATTTATATTACAGGCTTTGAGGTAATACATACATATATATATCATATCTCCTATAACTTACATGCTTCCTATAAGAAAGAGAAAAAGACAGTCTCATTATGGGGCCCAGGCTGGCCTTGAACTTGTGATCTTTCTTCTTGCTTTAGCCTCCTGAGTGCACATACAGGCTTGTGCCACTATGCCCAGTTATGAGCTGTTTTAAAAACAGGATAAAGTGCTACAGTATTTAGTGAGACTTTTTATGTGACATACTGTATGCCCTCATATTGTGCCTTCATTATGACATCCCCACCATCAGCCTTAATTAACAGGAAGAAATGAAAGCTGAGGGAGGACAAGGAGCCAACCCAGGACCTTGCAGGAGTGAAAATGTGCTGGGCTGTGCCCTGGGTTTTGTGAACTCATTCTTTTCATTATGCCATGGCACACTATTTATGAATTGCTTCTAGTAAGTCGTGTGTTCATTAGCCTCTTATTGTGGCACTTGATAAAATTCTTTTTACTTAGCAGTAAGGGGGATGAATTGTGGTGTGGATGACACGAGTTTCAGCCATGTAGTTCTGTCTGTCCCAGTGTATGCCATACCTATGTCTTTTTAACTTTAATTTTTAAAACATTGCTTTGTTTTGAGATAGCATCCTCCTGTACAGGTCAGTAAGTCCTGAAACTCACTATCTGGCTCAGGATAACCTCAAATTTGCTGTAATCATCTTCCTTTAGCCTCCTGAGGGCTAAAATTACAGGCGTGAGTTGACTGATGCCTGGTAGCATTGAGACTCTGTAGTTTGACATTCAAGACCTTCTGTGACCTGACTGATTTTGCAGCTCTTCTGATCTCATCCTCTGCTTATCTTCTCAGTTTCAGTGCTTCCAGCTACTTCCGTATTTTCTTCATCTTCAACTGCTTTCTGCATCCCACTCACAGTAACTATACAGTTACCCCCTATATCTTTGTGTCCCACATTCATGGATTTAACCAACTCCAGATTAAAAATATGCAAAAAAACTGACATGTGTACAATGTAGTATTGCATGTGCTTACATAGTGTTTACATTATATTTGATGTTATAAGTAATCTAGAGATGGCTCAATGAATACAAAAGGATATATGCAAAAGCTGAGATGAAGCGTCCAGTAACTGTATTATCTTTATAGGTATGACTCCGTCTCCCTGGATACTGCAGGAGACTGTGTCTGTCTAAGCTTCAGGTGAAGCCTGGAGTTCTCGTTCGGTCTCCTCTCAGAGTCCTCCTTTTTGGCTTCACTCCAGTGCTGTATAATGCTCTGCTCTGCCGTGTGCACCAGACTCCTCTGTGTGTAGTTGGTGTTTGTACGGCTGACTGCCCTACAGACTGTTGTCTCTTGTGGGTTGGCCTGCTCTTCATGCTTGATGCATGATAAGCCTTACATGATTATTTTTGAAATACTTAAAACTTTATTCGTAAACAGTTGCAACTTGATACAGGCAATTTATCTTGTCCTTAAAAATTACTTCAGCACAGCTGCTAAATTTTTTTTCCATGCTGCTAATTTACTCAGAAATCCTTTTCTTTTTTCCTAAATAAACCTGGGAAACTCAGGTAAAACAGTCTCTCATAATTTATAAAATGACTGGATCGTAGTTTAATGACATTTTATTATGGATTCCCAAATGAAAGTGTCTCAGAAACATCTATGGAGATTCTTCGTCAAAATATACTCATAAAGTAGTTACTAAATTGTGATTTCAGTCATTTTAAGGGTAATAGTTCATTCATCAAATAATGAAGTTCTACTATTTGCCAAATCTATTCTCAGTACTGGGGATACATCTGTAAAAGAGAAGAAACAGTAAGTGGAGTAAATGGGTAAATTATGTAGTACAATCCATCCATTACCCATGTATTATGGTGATAAGTGCTTATGGAGATAAGCACACTGAAGGAATAGGGTGAGAGGTTGGGAGTGTCTTTGGGGCATGGTTTTAATGAAAAACGGGTGATGAAGATAAGTCTCATTGAGATAGATTTAAACAAACACTTGAAAGAGGGCAAAGAGCAAATCATCTGGCTATCTGGGGAAGAATAACACAGGCAGAAGAAGGCACCCAGAAAAGAGCAGAGAGAATTGGCATAAGAGGCTAGCAAGGAGATTAGTGTAGCTGGAACAGAGTGAGCATGGGAGGCTTGGCCAGAGAAGAAGGCTGGGAGGAGGGCAAGTCTGTACACTGGCTTTGTAAAGATTTCCTCTGGGAGAAGTAGGGCAAGATTTTATGAAGTCATTTTAGTGCCAGTGTTGAAAATAGGTGGTGTGACCTTAGCACAGAAGCAGAGTGACCAGGCACAGGCCTGGTGGTCTGATAAAGGTTGGAATCAAGTTGGTAACAGGAGTGACAAGTGGTTGAATTCTGACTAGATTTGAAGGTGAGCCTAAGAGTTTTCTGGTAGAGTAGATGACAGGAGTGTTGTGTGTTTGTGTGTGTGTGTGTGTGTGTGTGTGTGTGTGTGTGTGTGTGTGTGTGTGGTGTCAAGGAGAAAGGAGATGCTGCTTACAAGTGCAGGAAGTGCCCAATGATAGACTCACCAAGTTGGTGACGACTGCTAAACTTCCTGGTGGACATTCTGAGTAGTCAGGTGGGGATTTGAATTCAGAATGGGGTCTTTGAAACTTGAAAGGGATTAGCATGTGGACAGTATTTAGCATCATAAAAATAAGATCATTAAGAAAGTCTAAATGGAGAAGTAGATTAAGCTATAGGTGAATTAGCACTGAAAGTCTGGTGTCCTAAAAAGTATTCAACAAAGTGTTCTTAGAAATAAATACTGAAGAAGGAAAGAGATGGAGACTAGTAGTCCAGGAAGCAAGTGGATGACATTATCCAGGAAGAGAGCTAATATGTGTGCCGGATGGTGCTGTGGGTCATAAAGATGAAAGCTAAGAATTAGCCATTAGATAGGGCAACATGGAGATGAAGGTAATTTATGATCTGTGTCTTGGTGGAGGGATGGGAAAGCCCGTGGGATAAATGGGTACAAGAAGTAATAGGCAGAAAGGAATGGAGATAACAGCATAAGCAACTCTTCCAAGGAATTTTGCTAAAAAGAGGAGCTTAAGGCAAAGAGATACTTTTAAGATGGAAGAAATACTTGTTTGATTGTTAGTAGAGGAAATCATCTGAGAGAGTAGAAAATTGATGTAGGAGAAAGGCCAACAATTGCTAGAGTCATATCCTTGAATAAGAAGAGATTGAATTTACTAAGCACGTAGAGAGACTGACCTTATGTTGGCTGTTCATCTGTAATAACTGCTGGGAAGATAGAATGTACAGATGTGTGTGCAGGGAAGGTAGATGCGGCTGCAATTGGTCTCATTTTCTCGTGTAGCAGGAAAACAAGATCTTCCATCAGCTAAGAGTAATGGTGCACAGAAATACGTTAGGAATTTTGGGGGAAGGGTAATGAATGGAATGGTACAAGAGAGGGTAAGCACATGGCCAGGGAAATACCTCGATTGCTGAGTAGTCTGAATCAAAGGTGGGAGCAGGTGGCATTGCTGAGGTTTTTCCAGTCATGTTCAGCTCCATGAGCACACGCAGATTCAGTGAAGGATTAAGGTTAACTAGGAATTAGAGCTGACAAGCATGAAGAAGTGATGTAGAGGGGCAAAGGAATTGAGGACAGAAGCAAGGCAGTGGTTGTAGCAATTGCCTGAGGAGTTTAAGGTGGACAAGGAAGGCAGATTCCATGGGGATGAAGAATGGGGAAGGTGGGTAGGATTGCCAGAGTGAAGGACCGAAGGGTTCTGGGTATAGTGGGGTAAAAGAGTGAACAGGAAAGCGGGTAATGGTCCAAGTGTGGGTTGCAGGCGATAGCAATTCTGTAAGCTTTGTAGCTATTAGATAGTAGGCTAGAGGTGATGAGGTGAGTCCCCAGAACTCCAACATCATGACGTCAGTGGGTATTGACAACCAGGGTTTATCTTATCATTGGAAGGGCATGTATTAGCAGCAGTTCAAAGTCCAAGCTAAATATTTATCATGTAAGAGGACTACTCTCTAGAAGTTTAAAGATTGTGCTATGTAATTACAGAACAGAGTTAATTATTCAGTTGTGTGTATTTTATATAATGTGGAAACAATGAGATGAAAATTATATAACTATATCTAATTTACAACAAAGGCATCAGTATTCATTTATGAGGAAGAATAATCATTTCACAAAATATTTATTCTTCATGAATGTACTTTTAAGTTATACCACCAAAGAATTACAGTGCCTTGGGCTGGAGATATGGTTCAGCGGTTAAGAGCATTTCGTGTCCTTGCTGAGGACCTAGGTTTGGTTCCTAGCACCTACATGGGCGACTCACAACTGCCTCTCACTACAGTTCCAGGAGATCTGACACCCTCTTCTGGTCTCTATGGGCATCTGCATGCATGTTGAGCACATAAACCCACACATAAAAATAAAAAAATTAAATGAATATATCCTATCATTGACTTATATGCACATTCATGAAAACATTAAAGAAACATCCACCAAGAGGACAATAGAGCTGTATTGAACTCCATAACTAACATCAGAGATGCGTTGTCAAGTCCTCATGCCCTTAGTCTAGCTGACACCAGTGTTGAACAGTGTGCTTACCAGAATAGGTGTTTGCCCTCAGACCTGTGTGGGCCGGTATGCTTGTTATTGTAATTACGTACATTAATTAAAATAGTACATATACTGATAAAATAAGGGTGACGGCAGAGACTTGTTTTTGTATGACCTAAGCTAAATTAGGTGGGAATGAGGCAACTATCAAATATTTGAGAGGCAGTCATAATGGAGGTGCCTGTACTGACATTATTTCCTAAGTCTTTTGTTTTGTTTACTTTTTCTTTTATTTACTGGTTATTTTTTTATTTTGGTAATAGAAATAAAACTTAGAGCAAGGGTTCTACCACTGAGCTATATCTCCAACCCTTTGCAAGATCTTGCTCTTTTTTTAAAAAGTAAAGAACAGATAGTTGCATTTAGTGTGGTTTCCCTAACAACTGCTCAGTTGGGGAGAGAACTCGCATTAGGAATTAGTGAATTGGCTGCACAGTGGTGTTGCACTCCTTTATCTCAGTACTCGGGAGGCAGAGGCAGTCTGGGCTACAGAATGAGTTTCAGGGCTGTCTCACAGAGAAACCCTGTCTCAAAAACAACAACAAAGAAACTAGTGAATTAATGTATATTTGTTTTTACGATTTCTTTCTTTTTTAGCCCAGGCTGACTTGGAATTCTTGTAAACTATGTAGTGCTAGGTTTCATGAAGACATTTTCATTCAAATGTATTGTGTACTTTGGCCAACCCATTTTTGTCCTCTATCCTACGTAATTAGTTCCCTTCCTTTTCCCAGATAGCCCTGCTCCTACTTTCATGTAGCATATAAATTATTTAATGTGTGGTTTTAAGCTAGAAGTCACATTTCAAGTATGTGCCAACCTTCGGTGTATCATCCTTAATGATTTCCTTCTTTAACTGACATTCCCGCTGAATTCTACACATAAAGGCATTATGGAATTTGACTTGTCAAATTACATTTTCATTTTATATGACATGTTATTATTTTGTTTACCTTTTTATTTTAAAAATTGGCCTTGTTTTATTTATCAGGTTCTATCTAATTCCTAAAGTAATTTTAAGTAGCAGCTGGTAATAACATTTTATAAACAGATTTGTGAGGGAGTAGGTGGGTTGCATGATGGGAGCAGAAGCCAGAGGTCAACTCTGGGCAACATTCCTCTACTTTGCTTTTAATCCCAGTACTTGGGAAGCAGAGGCAGGTGGATCTCAGTGAGTTTGAGGCCAGCCTGGTCTCCAAAGCAAGTTCTAGTATAGCCAGGAATGTTATACAGAGAAATTCTGTCTCTAAGAGCAATGAAGTTTAGATTCATTTATTCCTTATATCTGTGAAAGTTTTTTCTGCATGTATAAATATGTACCATGCATGCTCAGTGCCCAAGGAGTTCAGAAGAGGGGCCAGAATCCCTGGAACTAGAGTTGCAGATGATTGTGAGCCATCATGTGGGTGCTGGGAACAGAAGCACAGTCCTCCTACAAGACAAGTGCTTTTAATTGCTGAGTCACCTCTCCGGTCCCCTCTTTTTGCATTTAGCATAATGAAACTTAGTAATGCTATTGTAAAGAAGAGGAACAAGTGTAATGTGGTTCCTTAGTAGGATACTAGTAAGAAAGGCTGATTTAGTTCTAGTGGGTCTCTTTGGTCTCCTTACCAGGGATATACTAGGCCTGTGGTGAATCAGATGGTAATCTTGGGTGGTGTCCCTCTGCCACAAGCACTGAAGACTAAAGGCTGTGATGGACACCAGTAAGATCTTATGGTCTACCAGGAGCTTCATTGGAGCATATGAGCCCACCAGGGCCTTGTGCTTGGTGTAAAGAAGGGGTTGGTCAAGCCAAGAAGGCCACTCAAGTCAAAAGATGTTTCTTGGTGTTATCTCAGAAATGAGAAAAGGTTGCACACACTCTGTATTCTTTGTACAAGATAAAATACACTTACTATACCAGGTGTGAAAAATGCAGAAGGGAGACATCCAGCATGCTTCAGGAAGTAAACAGGAAAGAAACTACCATTTGTCTTTAAAGTAGTTGGAAAAGTGCAAAAAAGGTGGTGTCCCAAGGGAAAAAAAAAAAAGAAGTGACTAGAGTTGCTTAGAGTAATATTCCAAGGCTAGAACACTGGGAAGACTTACCAGAGTTTGGCTGTTTCAGCTTGCCTAGTCACGGGTAGATGTGTCTATCAAATAACAAACTCATATTAGTGCAGTTACACAAGCAAAACAAGACCAGTTCAAGACCTTACTCGTTGTTTTACTGTCTAAAAGGGGAAACAAGAATTAACTGTTAATGCAACATGCAATGCTATGTTGTTATAATGGTATGAACACAGCACTTTAGAAGGATAGAGCTTGAAATGGTTAATTGTGTGTCCATGGGAAGGAATTCATAGGTAAGTTCAGGCTGAGTAGGAAGTGGGAAGAAGCCAACAGGAAGACGGGAGTGGAACTTTCTAAACACAGAAGGTGGTGAGTCCACATGCCATGCTCTGGGATTGAGTATACCAGGAGCACTTAGCCTACTCTTAGCTATAAGAAACAGTAGCAGAGTGTGGTTGCATGAGTCTGTGGTACCAGATACTTTGGAAGCTGAGGCAGGAGAATCATTTGAGTCCGGAGTTTGAGGCCAGGCTGGGATATACAACAAGACACTGTCTCAAAAAGAAAACAAAATATTACCCTAGTTGTTGTAAAGAATATGGTTTTGAGGGGAAATATATACCCCAAACATGAGGGTATTTAAAAAGTTATCTTGAGGACTGATCACTGCGTGGTGAATGGGAATAGAGTAATACCAAAGGGATGTGGCAGGCTTGAAATTGGGTTATGAGGAAGAAACAGGAGCCACGTGCTGGCTGGGTGGATGTTCTCAGTGTTCTTCAGTGTTGAGATGAGACAGAAAACAGGAGTTCAGGACCACAAAAAGGAGGGTATTGTGCTTGGTTTCTGGCAGTTGGCAGTTGAATGTGAAAGGCCTGTGGGATCCCAGTATCCAGTAGGTGTAAACTCAGATAGATGTAGCCTTCAAAAAGATTGTTTAAGCCAAGCAACAAGAATGCCTAGGCTTGAGTCCTAGAGAACACCCAGCATGCTCATGGTGGAGAGAGCTATGTGCTCTGTTGTTTCATTGTATTGTTTGTTCTACTTCTCTCTCTACCAATGGAGACGACTGAGACTTGACTGTATTGACCGTGTGTGCTTGCTCTTCAGGCATACTATTTTAAATGGATTTTGTGTCCATAATTTTTTAACTTTCAAATTTAAATCTGTAAATGTCACTTCACTGGATTTTTTGATTTCACTATTTGTATTATTATTGCACAGAAACTGGTAATAGTTGTCATAATATTAAACAGAAATCTTCCAGAATGACTCTTAATACTTAATATTAGTCCCTTTAATTGTTCTTTCCCTCTACAGGAGCTGATGCAACAGAATGGGATTGGCTATGTGTTAAATGCCAGCAATACCTGTCCAAAGCCTGACTTTATACCTGAATCTCACTTCTTGCGAGTCCCTGTGAATGACAGCTTTTGTGAGAAAATTCTGCCATGGTTGGACAAGTCTGTGGATTTCATTGGTATGTAGCTTAAGACGAGGAACAAGCCCTTTGAACCATAGTGTCACAGATAGGTGTAGCTACTCCCTCCCTGCCTCTCTCAGAGATCTCGAGCCTGAAAACAGCACGTGATTTTACTTATTTAATGGTCAAGGTGATGTGTGCCATGCTGCCCCTAAAGGATTGGCCTTGTGACCTGCTAGCTAACTTTTAACAACATCAGGCTTAAGCCTTGCAGGATCTGAATTATGTGTTGCAAGTATTTAAAAATCAGTTAAGCTTTCAGAACTAACCCTCACCCTCCCACTTTTCAAATCCTCTGAAACATTTGGTGAAGCTGGCTGATATTCCCTCTTTCTTGGTGTTGTATTTTCCCTGGGAAAAGCCAAGTCCTGTGAAAACCCCCGTTGCATATACAGTCCTTTTATATGTTACAAGATTTCCTGAGCCTCAGTCCATGCATCACTAGTTTCAAGTAGTTTTAGATCCGGTGAAATTCCAGCACATACTCACACATGCATAAACAGAAGCTAGTCTCTCATACAGTTCACATTGAAGAATTTGAAAATAATCATAAGGAAAATTCTTCAAGCTAATACTTTCTCATTGTACTTCTAAAAAGTATATTCAACATAGCATTCATTTTTTGCCCTTAAGAAAAAGAAGACAATGGTGAT